GGGACGGGGGGGGGGATTTTGCAAAAAAGCGCGCTCTCCGCAAACAAGCGAATCGTCGGTGGCGCGGAGATTGAAAAATATCGCGTGAAAAGCGCACAGACGTCGATTTTAAATTGCCGCCGAAGGGCCTTTTGCCGAAGGTGCAGGAATCACGGCTGCCATTCAAGGGAGGCGCGGGCGAATTGGACCGGGGGCTACAATGGATCGCTGATTGGTCAGTTTTGCCGCTGACGCTCTTAAACGACTCGTAATTTGTAATCGCATTATCCGCCCGACGTCGGGGAGCGATCGATCGATCCATTTCCTCCTCCCTCGCCCGCGCCCCCCTTCGCCCTTTTACCGTTTTCGCCGCGACGTCCGTCCCCCGTCTCTATGGGAATGTGCCGGGGATCGAGAGAAGCCCGCTCGGACCGTTTGCGAAACGGCACCGGCACGGGATTATATCTGTCCACGGAAAATCGGATTTCTATCTCGGAACCTGGGCACCGCGCGCCACCCCTCTCGCCCCCTCCCTCCCCCCCTCCACCCTCGCCGTCCCGCGTCTCCGTGTCTCCGCGCGCTCTTTTTATCCGGGCGCACATAAGGACGTACAAGATTTTCCGAGAATTCTTCTCCGGAAATCCCCGGGGGAGCGCGTCCGCGGTGCGATCGAGCGAGCGTCGAGGAGCGGGATGAGGGCGAGGGAGGATCGAAGAAAATTATTGCTGGTTATCAGAGTCGCGATCCAACGAGCCGTGCCGGCTACATTTTCCGATTGTTATTACCCTACTGGTCATTTCATCGCTTTGAAGAGGGCGGCTATTTTGCTTCTACGCTCGTTGATCCGCATTAAGAGCTTTCCAAGGAGAAAGAACGGGGCGGGGAGGAGGGGGGAGAATACGGGGAGAAAAGAGAGAGGCTTTAAGAGCCTCCCGAGAGCTTACGGAATATCGTGCATGGCTAGCGAGCGAAAAATACGACTGGTTTATCGAGACCCGTCACACGACGGCGTTATTACTCGATCGCGAACGCGCGTTTCTTCTAATATCGGATCTCATTCTCGCCGGAGAACTTTCGAAAACACTCGGAGAACCGTTCGGAAAGATTGCCGCGAGACTCGCCAATCGGCCGCCGGAGATTAATGTATCCGATAATCGAGGGTGGGGGAGGCTAAAAGTAGCGCAGCTCGCGACACGGGAACGCGCGGGCGTACGTGCGAATACGCGTGGGCGCGACAATTAAAAAACCCGCGCGTTCTTTTTCTCCCCCCCCCCCTCCCTGTCCCCCTCCATTCCTCCTCTCCGTATCAATATAATACGAGGCCACTAAATATACACAACCGCATTCAGCTTGAAATATACAATGGGTTTTGGCCGCCCGCCATGGTAAAATCCCACGAATAATTTCTGACTGCTGGCCATATGGAGTCAAAAATTTACGCGGAGTTTTATTGCGCGCGTATAGTCCGGAGGTACCGCTGAAAAATAATGTCACTCTTCATACGCGGGCCAGCCGGTGGCGTTATGCATCGCGGGGTAACAGGGTTGCCTTTTCGAACGTGCACGTAGGTGAATGCGCCGATAGTGTCGTGGATGAACGCGGCGGCGCGGCCCAGCTCTCCCTCTCTCTCTCTCTGTCTGCCTTTGTCTCTCTCGGTTGCGCTCGGTTAATACGATCGGGATCAATGACGCTGGCGTGCAACGGTTTACGTATACGGACGGGGTCTTCTCTCGCGGGCCCATGTATGGAATACCAAGTCCCTCCATAATTTATCGTCGGTCGTGCCATCTCGGTCGCGTGAAGGATCTCCCTCGCGTATGTCGAACTCGTTCTACTACACACCCCCGCGGCGTAATCGATAACCGATAACCCCGGGAACCGCGATATTCGATAGGTCCCGGGTCGGAAGATTTCCGCTCGCTCGCTCGCTCGCTCGCTCGTACGCCCGCGCGATACCGGAGCCATCCGCGACGTGGCTTTCGCGGAGCGGCGGGCGAGCGCCGAATTAATTGCCTCGCTGATCGAAGAGGATAAATTTGCGATCGGTTTCCCCTCCCCCGTCCCTCCTCAGCACGTCGGATCTCGCAACGATCTCCGATACGCCGGGCGTAATGGGCATTACCTACGATTTGTCATCGCCGCTTTATGGCGCGGACCGAACGTGCAGGAGGGACGATACGTCGAAAACGGAAATCCCGGAGAAATTGTATTCGTCGGGAACAGAGTCGGGGATCGCTCTCGCACGCTCTCTCTTTCGCGCCCGATTTGCATTCGAATCTTCGATGGAAATTATACAATTTGTCCCGTCTTCCTGCGAGGATATCCGGCTGGCTACCATTATAAATTTCCGCACGGGAGTCCCCTAAAGCTGGACTCGCCGATGCGCGCGGCGGAGGGCCGATAAGCCGGCGAATAATGAACCGAAACCGTGATCAAGAGAATCGAAAATCGCGATGTGTCAGCTGTCAGTCCGGCGAACGTGTCTAGTCTAGCACGCGATAATTTATAAGCGTGAGAACGAGGCGGGACGAAAATGATGACGACAAAACAGAGCCCGCCTGATAAATCATACATCCCATTGAAGCCCGATCAGCGGGATTTTATTTGCCTCGTACGCGCTCCACGGGAATTTATTTCATTAAAATTTATCTTCTTGACGATCGCGCATCTGTGTCGCGCGCGCGCGTACATGTGTGTGTCGGCGCTTTAATGCGACGGGCAAGCGGCGCGGAATACGTTTATACGCCGTGCGATCTTTTCATTGCTCGCGCGCGATTGTCGACGCGTGTCGTATGTCTTATTTTTGAAATAAAATAGGAAGAAGGGGGAGGAGGGGAAACACATCTCGCGCGGCGGAGTGAGATGGGGGCAATACCGGCGCGTCGCCTTAAATTCTACCCCAATGCCGCGCCAGTTTCCCCGGGCTTTTCCACGCTTTTTGCGAAACAATAAACCGCGAAACCGAGTAATACTTTCACATGGGTACACCCTTCAATTACTCAACTTGTCGCGTGACACGCGAGATACGCGGGGAATGTTTTATACGTGCATATCTACCCCGGCGAAACACTTGCCGTAATTCTACGATGTCTGGCGAGCTTGACGGCACGGGTAATCGCGAGAATTCTCCGTGTATACCTCATGTAGAGCGATATTATAGCTCCGGTTGTAAACCGGTTGTTATACCCGCGACACCGTTAAGTCAACCTGTCAATTTGTCAATCACAGCGCGACGGGGAGGGGGATTGAGTGTAGCGCGGGGGGAAAAAAGTTGGGACTTTATTTTGTAAAAATTACGGCGCTACGTTATTGGACAGCGTGGCGTTTTTTTTTCGCAAAAAGAGTAAGGTATTGAATGACGTGACGTTGCGCGCGCGCGCGAATCGCGACTTCTGATATTAATCTTCCGAGGGGAAAGTTCGCGAGACGTGCTCGCGCCAATAAGAGCAATCGCGCGAGTGGCCTGACGAGGCCGTTTTTAAATCGGGTGGAAGTTTGTATCGAATATTCGTATACCGGCGCGGAGTTGCGTGTAAAACGGCGCTGATTAAAAATCTATCTGGTAATTTATTGGACGAGCAAAGAACAACTATTCCTCACCCCTTTTTTTCCCCCTCCGTACCGTTTACGCCGGTTGTTCGATCCGAGTTTCTTCGCGATAGCCAAATAATATTAGTGCATCCCCGAGAAAAAAAAATATCCCGGCTCCATTAGCATACATTTAACTTTGACGGGGTTTTTTCGCGCTAACTCGTTCAATCATCGTGGTATTTTGCGTATTGGATGAATTCGCTCGGTGCTAGGCGGTCAATCGTGTAATAAGAGTTTGCGAAATGTACCCATTACAAAACGCGACGAAATTATTACAACATTGACACGCGACGCTCGGGAAGAAATGCAAACTGCGCGCATTATGTTTATTCGTGTTTGTTGGTTGAAAAATATAAAAAAAATTAATTTTTATCAGCAACTCAATGGCGCACAAAGTGCGTGTTTGTCGATGTCACATTTTACTTTTCAAATACGCGTTACACGTTCGCGAGAAGCAAATTGCCAAACATAATTCTATGCAATGAGCAACTGGCGACGCACGAATACATCTACGGGCGCGCGGACACGCGCGCGTTTCAAAACGCGTAATTTTATGTGCTGGAGCACACTTGATACCGGGCGTACATCGATTTTGCGCGATTAAACGTTCATTTATTCAATCAATTTTCGTGTTGAAGCTCGTGTCCACGGGTTTATCGATGATCGGCTTCATTAGAAAGAGTTTAATTTACTTGCGCCGCGTCATAATGGCGAACGGCTCGGCACCCGCCCCGAGACGCCGTCGCTCATTTTCATCGATCCGAGAAAATTGATGGCACGTGAAAATTCTTCTGCCCTACATTATCTTTTTATATGCAATCTGCACGGGACAGGCACGCACACGTATGCGCGCGCGCGCGCTTCAACGGGCACGAAAAATTTCAACGCGTCCTTTACGCCGGCGAGTCCGATACTCGTTTCGAAATCGAATTATATACAAAGATAGTCTCGTGGAATATTTCCGCTTAATTTAGTTTGGCGCGTGTGTGAGCTCGACGGCGCCGAAAATCGATAACGTTGGCAAAATAACGCGACACTTACATTAAAAGATGAAAATTCCATTATCCCGACAGACTGTCCAAATAGGAAATCGATCCGGGTTAAATTAGCACGGGTACCCTCGATGTTCGTTCGCATCCTCTCTCTCTCTCGTCCGGTCGCTTGGTTCCCCGCCGTCTATCCGGCGTACCGCCAGATCTGCCTTTATCACTTTCGCGGGTGCTTTCTTACCCCGGCAAAAATCCATAAAATTGTTTACCGATACGGCGACGCCGGGAATTATTTATTGTCCGCCGTCGTATATATCGCGCGACGAAAAGGAGCGCGCGATATACGAACAGAAAGAAAATATAATGCGCGTCCGACGCGCAGCGGTGCAATAGCTCGCCCGGAAGGCCAATAATATCGTATATCGCGGAGTAACAACCTACCGTCTCCTTCTTCTTCCGCGCGGTCTCGAGGACCGACTGGAACCAGGACCATTGGCCGGAGGGATCCTGCGTGTTATCGACCGTGCTACTTCCGGCGCGATGCGGCATACGGTTGTCGACCGGGTTCAGCCACAAATTCGTATTAAGGAAGACGATCCGATATTTTTTCGAGCGCTGCTCGATCGTATAGTAGCCGGCTGCAACAAATTTTGAATAGTGCCGTGGCGGTAAAGCCGGGGCGAATTTATGCCCGCCAATAAGCTTACTTTGTGCCGTAACATTTTCAGAGGGTGAGAGCACCCATAAATGTTGCATCGACCCGTTGCGCGCGTTTCGAATCAAAGAGCGCGAACCTCGTTCGCCAATCATTTATGTACGTCTCGGGACCGTAAGATGCTCCTTTTTGAATTTTAATACCTTACGGCACAACGATAAATGCTTAATACCACCGATGTTACGAATGCATGCGTTGTCAAAACTCGCGCCCAGGGGCTCGGTTCTTGAATTCATTCCAAGGTGAAACGTATACGAAGAGTCTGCTCAGACAGAAGAATTGAAAGTCGATTGGTTAAATCCATGCGAAATAGCCAATCAACTTGCAATTTTTCTGCTCTGGGACAAAAAGACAGCAACCCACCTTGGGGCCCACAATTAGTAATCGACTTACTTGTATTGTTCTAACTAAAAATCGCAATTAACTGTTCTATCTATATCCAAAATTTTCAAGTAATACTAATCAATTCTCTCAATTAGCTCTGTCGATATTCAGTAACGCAAAGATAACTTTCACTTAAGAGGCACTAACCGAAATGTTAAGTTGCCTAACTACAAAAAAAAACGGTCAAAATTTTTCCCAGAGTAGAGTTACGAACAATCAAAATGATTCGATTACTAATTGTGGGCCTCAAAATGGGTTGCTAACTGTCTTTTTCTTCCCAGAGTGTACAGAGTGTAAGAGCAGAATTTTCGCATACGTTTCTCCTTCGAATGAATTCAAGAATCGAGCCCCAGGAGGCTACCGATTCTATGATACACCGTCAATTTGGAACAAATTCGTCGCGATCTTCCGACCGACCTGTCAATCCGTCTTTTTTTTCCGTTCGTTTAATTCGTACGTCGTTGACGTTTGAGGGCCGCGTGACATTTGCTCACTCACCCTTTTCGAAAGTACCCAGCGCTTCCGGCGGCAGCCAGTTCTGCCAGACCGAAGCGAGCTGCGTGTAATTCAGGCCTATGTCTTCGTGGCCGAGCGCGGGGAACACGAATTGTCCTTTGAACGAGCGGTGCAGCAGCTCGGTCAAATTCCGCAAACACTGCAGACGCACCTCCGCGTTTATGCCGGCATTGCGCGTCAGCGCATCACTGCAACAAGTAGTTACAGCCTCGTTAGTCCCAGTTACATACAACACCCGCACTCGGGGATTACAGCGCGAGCGCCGGTGATTATCGCCGATAAATGCAGCGAGCAAGAGGAAATGTCGCCGGATAAGGGCGCGTCCCGTCGCGCGGCGTCGCGACGCGTCGCGTCGCGTCGCGCACCGTCGACACGCGAGATGAGGCGCAATGCGGCACAACGACGACGACGACGACGAGATCAGACGTGCGAATTATCAACCGAGCGGAACGCTGATAATTGTTACGTCAACGATAACTGATTAAGCACCGGCGCCCCGATGACAGAGATCGGGGAAGAATGACGTGACGGAATACAAGTGGGCTCGCTCAAAGTTTACAAGTATAGGGTTGACGAGAAAAGAAACAAAAAGCTCTCAACTGTTCTTCTTAACAAGTTTTGAAAGTACAAACGCGGTTGACGGTGCGTAAATTATATTGATCAATAGTTGACAAGGTACGTAATTATAAATTGAACGTTTCGGCTCCGTTTTGAGCCGTCTTCAGTGACGCGGTGAATTAAATCAAAATGTCACGTTCTCCGGCGAGAAATAAGTAGGTAACTGCGAAATTTGGTGGTCTAAAAGCATAATTTTCCGCGAGAAAATCCAAGTGAAACTTGGGTAATTATCACAGTTTATTACACGATCGAAATGAAAATAACTGTCATAACTTGGGCGAAAAGAGACGTGAAGTCACTTATCCGTCAGCTCAGAGAACGCGAGAATAAGCCGCGGTAAAGAAACATTGAGAAACAATACTTTTTGTAAGTAAAGTACGCCGTTATAATTGAGACAAGGACGCACTAAAAAGACAGTTCTAAGTTGCAAGTGATGAGTGTCTCATCTGTCTGTCAATCTGAGATCAGGACGTAACAAACGACCAAGTTTCACTACGCAATGTTTAAATGGTATTGTAGGTGAAAAGTTAAAAATGGTGGGAATTAAAATTTTATAACAAAGAGAATATAAAAACTAAATGCAACGAAAACTTTGAGGTCACGGATAAATGAATAAATGAATAATTTAAAATTATGACAGGAGCGAAACTACAAGTAACATTCTAAAAATTAACCCGCAGCAGGTGACAATAACGGGCGAAATTTACTATTTGCTCGAAATTGAGACGCGCACGCGGAGAGAATTTTCTCTTAAAATTTGTCTTGAAAATCATGTAATTGTCGAAGAATTTTATGAGAGTTTTTTGAAATTTTACCATACATTTTACTATAGTAATTATACTTACAATTAGTATACATTTTACTAATAGACTATATGGTAAAATTTCAGAAAAACTCTCACACAGTTCTTTAAAATACCATATTGTCCCACGATTGTATGATTTTCAGGGTAAATTTTTTAAGAGAAAATTCTCTACGTGTAGATAATTCAGTATCAGTGTCTGATTGTGAATTACGGTTACTCTTCTGAAGTTAAACGCGTGTTATTTCGATAAAAATCTTTCATTGTCTAAAACGTTCTCCCAATCGAATTCATAGCTACAGTTAATTCTGTGACGACGGAAAATATGGTGGCGATACTCAGAAATTCTGCTTTTAAATTGTCGTTTGCCTCATCTAGGGCGCAACGGCGATCCTTGCAAGATATTTTATAAACGTTCTTCTTTGAGTTGATTGGAAAAATGTCTTTATGGGCCTCGATAAAGCCGCCGAGTTTATTGAGACTGAAATAGGACACATCTCGCGTTGAACTCTCAAAGCCCCCTTTTATCTATCATTTATCAATTTCATCATCGAGAGTCCCTCGTTATTTATCCAATTATTTTTCTTACCAAGTAATTTCACAAATTTGTACTTTTGCCCCGAGATATCCTGTCGTTAATTGAAAAAGCGGAAAGCGCTTGGGTAATTTACAGTTACCGCTAAATAGAATGATTACGTGTACAAGATTAATACGGATGGAATTTAGTTTGAAATCGGAACCCGCAAGTTTAATATGTCGAAACTTATCAATATTAATACGGGGCGAATGAATTGAAGCGCACGCTATTACGAAACTTTTCGGAAATAGACGTTGCATAATGTATCAATACGTTAGCGTGTACTATATTTGTACACACTCGTTTACGTTCGTATTCCTTGCGATAATACCCGCAATGAAACGACGGCGTTAAGTGGAGAAAGTCATCGATCGCGAGTGTAATATTTATACTGGTCAGCACGCGCCACCGTACTCCGCGCTTCCGGTAATTAATTGGAAGTCGTGCGCCTCCAACTAGTAAATCGTTCGTAAAGTAAATTTATTTAATGGTAATATATTCAACACATAATAATCGCGTTATTAACTGAATTAACAAGTTGCCGTACCCCAAACTGGATCTTGTTTATAATTTTATTGATAATAAATGAGATCTCATGAATAAATTACAATACGTTAATGATTCATTTAACAATAACAATCGTTATTAACGATAGCAGGTCGTATATCGTTTGACTATTATAAAAGCTCTGAATATTTTCATAAATTTCACATACGAAATATAAATTAGTAATAACGACAACAACGATAATGATTTGCAATGAGAACGATAATAACAATATTACCGAAAATAATCGGGGCGAAAAAGGGCCTTTAAAAATCAGAATAATGATAACGATAAAACGTCCTCGTATTTTGATACGATACTCGAAGCAGAAAGATATTAATTCGAATTGTTGGTTAATAAATGGCCTATTACATCAGGATATCGTATCTCAATCATATTGCACATCAATTATTCATATCCATGAAAAGGAATTTAAAAAATGCCAGATTACCGTCCACGCGAGATCTCATTTATGTAGATGTCACTGCACAATGGCTCGCGTACTGAAACGCGTACATCGCACCACATTAACCGACGATTACACGGATAGTTCGACCTACCCTGTCCACAGGACGAACTCGATATCGTTCTGCTTCGATCTCATCGCCCGCGCCGCCGATTCGATGAGGGCCCAGGGCGAGTCGCAGCTGTAGTCGCCAAACTTGCCCGCCAGTTTTCTGTCGAGCCTCGCGCGCCCGCTGTCGACGCTGTTCCTCGTGTTCCAGCACACTGAAACACGACGGTAAATGAGATTCGCGCGCGGGAGACCATCGGGAAGCGACAAATGGAAGTGTTGCGAGGAAGCGGTGATGATCGTGGGAACTTGCGAAATAAAAATGCGCACCGCGTGACAGGGAACGGCCAGGGTCGCGCTTTACACGCGCTTACCCGGTTCGTGTCTCGCTAACGTTCGTACGACACGAGACCTGTGCCGAGATGGTGGTAGGCCGGCTAAAGGGATGGGTCAGGGGTAATTCAAGCCGCCTCTATTTCGTGCAGATCTCGTGCCAGCCGAGCACGCTACGTTCTTTAGAACGATCGGCAAATACCCGCGCGCGGATCTGACCGGTAAATAACAGTTTGCCGTCCTATTAGAGAAATGATAATAATTTTCTCATGCGATCGTCGGAAAATAAAATGTATAACGACTCGAAGGCGTGTATTCGTTAAGGATCGGAGCCGGCTGCGAGCCAATTCGTCGCGTGCTGAGGAACAATTGAAAAAAAATCCCATGCAAATTTTTTCTCCCTTTCAAAAACACCAAAAAAGAAATTGTGCCGTCCAATAGGAAAGTTTCGAAAATTATGAAATTTTGTGGAAATATTCACAAAGTACTAACAAGTTTAGAGGAAATTTTCGCGAAACGCTCGGGAAAGTTTATACCTCGAGGCATCTGGCCACCGATACTGGGCGGTAACACCATGGTTCAGATTTCGCAACGGGAGGTCGATCGCGTATATTTTCCCTAAGAGCGAAAAAGTGAAAAGTGAAAATTTTCACGTGAATTTCGCAAAATCGTGGTCACGTAACCTTCCCAGGCGAAGCGATGAAATTTGATAGGATGAGATTCGCGTGAGTGATCGAACGAGATATGAAAAACTGGATGAGATAGAAGAAAAAACTTGCTAACAATTATGTGACCAATGCCCGGCTCGGCGCGTAACTCTGGCCGCATTGAGCGAGAATCGTCAGCATGCGCGTGCAAATAATTTTCCTTAAAAATTTACGAGATCGCGTAGTCCAGAAAAAAAAATTGCAAAAGCATCCTAATTTATCCCCGAAAGAGCTGCCGATCTCTTTGCAAAACTGTAAAGCCCGTGAAAGCGATGCACGTTGACTTACTGGTGGCGGCGTTTCCTTGCGTAGCATACTTTGGATCGTAATGAATGTCGGTGATGTGCCAGAAATATCCTGCAAAATAGAAGCCTTTATCCTGACCGGGATTAACAGGGGCTGTAAGACGCGCGATAAAAAGCGCCGCGGAAACAACATCACATTTCTCAATATCCGATCAATATGTGTTTTGACGCTTACCACGGTTGAACACTTTTTGGCTGCAATCGAATCGTATATTTCGAAAAAGTAATAACGAATGGTACGAAATAAAAATAGCTTATTTGTCAGCGCAAAATAGTGAAAATTTTCAAATACCATCGCTGTTTATTAAGAGGCTTAATTTATACATTCAAAAAGCTTGTTATTTTTATGTTCTTTTAAATAAACAGGTTTTTGCCTCCCTTCTGTAAAATTTGGCTGCCAGTACGTATAACCTTGTCGAAATATCCCAGGGATTAAAACCAGTATCATATCGGTGAGTCCAATTTTCGTTGCTGTAGATATGGAAAAATACATCTCACACCAATTGCTGCGCTTCCATTGTCACAAATAAACATAGAGATCGTATTTGCGTAGCTACATGAAAAAAATGCTGCGGTGCACATCGCAAAATTCGTTTGGCAGATGGAAACTTCAGTGTTTCAGTAGCAAACTTTACACAAAGTCTAATAAAATTGGGGCTGATTACATCTTGAATACAGTAAGAGATAAATTGTGTAGGAAAAATGTCGCATAACGAGCCATTAAGGAATATTACAAGCTCCACTTTTCATGGATTGCATATACGAGCATTATATGTATATGTTATTGTATTAATATCGCAATTTCCCTTTTGAATTTTATGCTTTTTTTAATGCACTGCCAACACAATTTTTAATTGCCTATAAACAAATTTATTATATAAATAATAATAGGAATTATTTGCGTAAAAACTATTAATATAAGAATATTTATAATACTTTTTATTCGTGAAAGGAAGATGAAATTACGGATTAAATCACAGAATAAAAACAGCTGATATCTCTTTTCTGTTGAAAATAGAAACAAATTACAGAAAGTATGAAAGAAATTTGAACGAATTTAAACGTCATGTGGACATTTTTGTCAATGCAACTTCGAAAGCAAATACGATCGCAATTTTCAATGTGCATACATAGCGCTTTCTAAAAAAAAACCGCCAATTAATTTATCTCATTGATGTGCGCATAAAGATATTAAAATAAGATAATCGAAAAATGAATATTATGCGAGATATTTTATATTTCATGGCAAAATATGTCGGAGTAAAGTATAAAGTATCTTGTATAAATAATTCATTTCTTGGTTATTTTATTCCTACCTTCCCGTACAAAATATTCCCGGAAGTAAATTTGTGTAAAAAGCAGAAGGCTTTATTTCGTAATACTTGTATAAAAAAAAGGATTCAATTATACCATTCCGGTGCACGGTTGCATTAACAAAAAAAAACTCGTATCTTCAAAAATCGAGCTCGGCTACGGATTTGAAGTGCACTCTCACATCGAGATTCCACCCGAAGCAGCAACGCTCCGAATCTCCCGTTATTCTCGACCTATTATATAACGTTGGAAAGTTTTTCTCTTGAGAAAGAGCTGCGCCGCGGGGTGGGTTTTCAGGCGGCGCGTAAACGATAGCCAGATTGCGCCTGAAGACATCGGATGAACTATACGGCCGCGAAATAGTTTCTCCTTTTGTATACGGGATTAAAAATTGCGTTTACCAGTGCATGTAAGTAAGTAACGAGCGCGCGTCTTACACGTGCGCCAACCACGAGTCATTCCGGCATACTCGCCGAATACAAAGTCGCGGAACGTGCGCGGGTACTTACCTATCTTCCCTTGCGCCACGCAGAGCCATGAGAGCAGTATCAGGTAGTCGCGTATCATCTTTCCGGAATCGCACCTGTAATTACAGAACGCGTTTGAGCGCCGCAGAAACCGAATGTCGACGATCGGTGCCGGCGATAAGGACGCGCGGCGGGACGGCTTTGTTTGCGCGATTGCGCGCCCCGAGTCCACTTTGCGAGATCGCGCGAGATCGCGCGAGCTAAGAACTCGACTATGCGAGATAGAGTATTTCCGACAAACTGGATATTCTCGGAGTCATAAAAGATGATAAGTATATATGCGTCCCCTCGGCGCGGTATTAAAGCGGAATAACGTTTCGCGCGGCTTAAACGCGATATGCAAATAGGTCTGCCATTAATGTCGGATAGCGCGCGGCCACGGATAATTTTGCACGGCCCGCTCACCCGTGAATGCAACGAATTTGGATTTGATCTGGATTTTTCTTCGGCTTCTATTTCCAAGACACACGGAGGGTGGGGGAAAAATCAATTCCGCGTCCCGCGGAAATTCGCAATCGCGGCAATGCCATTCGGGGCTTTATTTACCCTGGCGCTCAATAATTTCAATCATGTGCGGTACATTTTTAGACTTGGCCAATAGAGAAAGATTTGTTGATCTATATATTTGACGTCGCAAAGAGCGTTTGCGGACAAATATCAACAAATTTGTTGGCTTTTGACGTTTTCGGGTGTAAAAAAAACAGCTTTTCTCTCTCTCTCTCTCTCTCTCGCGTGCTCCTCTTGTGACAAATCAAACTATCAAGCGGTTATGCATTACTCGTAGTTTTCGGGATTCTCGTAAAATTGACAGAACGGGACGCGAAATCAAATCCCGTTTACGTCGGGACGTATGAAATTCATTATTTTAGGAAAAATATGTGACGAACTCTGCCACGTATAATTAATGCAGTGTGCGTCGCGCTGGTATTTCGTTCACGGCGAAGCGTAAATATTCAAGATAAATGAGGCTGCGGCAGGTGATAAACAAGCGCTAATTTCGGATTTAATTCGGCGACAATTGCCCGCCTCGCGAATAGTGGAGCGACGCGTTATTCAAGCGTCTTGCACGAATGTCCCCGCCCATACGGTTAGGCAAATATGACAAACGCTCGTCGCGAGTATTACAGTCTCTGGTACTCGCCATAACCTCTGACTCGCGATAATCTCTGACATATGAGAAACGCGTAAATTGATTGACGTGCGCTGCAGGCTTTTGTTTTGCAAACAGAAAAAAGTTTATTGAAACTTTAATCCCCGCCGCGACGACGTTATTATTTTTCGCACGCATCTCGTCACGGACTTCATTTCGCGGCGAAAAGATCCTTTATTTACGTGTCCGCGACGATCGATTTTTCGTAATATTTTTAACTGGGAGATTTCATCCGCCGAGTTTTCCATCTCGTCATTTTGTCGAATTCCTGTAGGTATTTCGGCACGGCGCCCATTCACGCTTACCTTGCTTAACGTATTGCTCCGAGCCTGCGAGCGCTGAAAAGCGGATGAGTGGAGGGCGGGCACATTTGGCCCGGCGGCCACCGTGAATTTCAATTTGCGACTAGCGCACGACAGGAACGACAAGCAGAATTACGAGGACGAGGCGAACCATTACGGGCAATCGGTCTATCATGGACGGGCTCTTTGTACAGCCGTGGGCGGAAGTTTACGATGGGACACGCGATTTTCTTGTTCGTTTCGGACCGCGTGCGGGACCGGGCGCTAACGACTTAATGCAAAATAATGGGCCGGCGTGTCGATACGCGGTCCCGTCCGACGCACAGGCGACACTAACCACTGGCGTCGCGGCATGAATAATTCGCGGCGGCGCGGAGTGTCGAAACGTCGATACGGTATCGCGGCGTTTTGCGGAACGTAATTGCGAAGAAGTAATTGCGCTGATGATTCCAATTGTTACCCCCGGGGGGGGGGGGGGGGGAGATCGATCGTGTCCCGGCGGAATTGACATACTCGTCTGGCCAGATCGTCTCCTCGCGGCAATTGTTGCAAACGACGATAAAATTAAGTGCCTAGCTATATGTGTGACGCGCTCTTATTCCTCATCTCTAATTAAAATAGATTAAAGTGGAAATAGCCGCGCCGATACTGTCAGACGCTTATCAATTCTTTGAAAGTTTTACCGGCAACCTCGAATTCAAATGAGCAGAGATTAATTAAAAGTAAATAACGACTTTGCAATTGATTTTGCACAGCTAAAAATAAAGTGGCAACAATGTTACCCTTTTATTATGTAACTCATTAATGACTTGGCTTTTCGGGGTGAATAGCGCCGTCCTTTATTTTCTATCGAGAACGTCGACTTCGATAAATTGTGGAATCGATGTTACAAATATTTACATCGGACTTAAATATTTAACAAAGAGGCGAGATAAAAAAAAGTATCCAATTGATGCGAGAGATTCGTCGCGTTGGACAAATAAAATCGAGAAAGACACGTCACGTCTGTTTGCAAAAAAAGAATCTTTACTAATCGAGACATTATTGGCTGCAATACACTTTTTTCCGGCACGCAGGTATTACGCGCGCCGTATTGGAAAACTCGTCCAACATCAAGCTCGTAAACGAGAAATCATTTTTCCCGATGTATATAGCCGGCGCGACGCACTAAACTAAACACGAAACTTTAAAAACTGCGCTCGTAAATATTCATGACACGCGCGAGGTGTAATTACTTGTAATCGCGTGTCACATCGCACAAATGGCTATGTCGAGCCGCCATAAGAATTCCGCGTAATGTGTTAACGCGATAGCTGCTTCCACGAGCGCGAATAACGAGTGCATAAATGCTGTTACGTCGCGCGCACGTACTTTTGGATAAATGGCTCGTCATGCGCGTACATCGCGATCCATAAAGGAAACAAAAAAACCGGTTGAAATCTTAATTTTTATCATCAGAGGGATTGCCGGTACCTCGAGGGGATTCTTTATTCCTCTCGACAACTCGGCGAGCGAAATTTTCACTCGAGAAATGCAGAGCACACTTACATACGTATATAACTCGACCTGATTCGGAATATCGAGCCCACTTTCGATGATCTATAATCCGCGCGTCGGGTTTTAAAATAAAATTTTATTTATAATTCTATATTCATATTTCACGTCATACTTTGATACGTATATGCGTTTAATATATAAAATCAAAATGTAGTACTCTCTACAATGGAAAATAATAAAAAGGACGAGAGAACATTGCACGGCTGGTCGGTGCGAGAGTCATTTAATCCAATAGTTACATCGAACGGTCACATCTTACTCGATGATGCAGCGAGCGGTTCAGCTGCAATTTAAGTCGTCATCAGTGCCATAACAGAGAGTACACTGCTGGTTCACGCAGTAGCTTTTTAATTCATTGTGCAAAAAAACTAACATCGATGTTCGTTATTTTACCACAAATTCCCGAACGTGTGGTCCAGAAGCAAAAGAACTGGCAAAGTATGTTAACGGAGTCAGTGAATTAATTAGAATTGGTCAGCATAAATTGGATATTAAAGTCAAGAACTTGAAATTTTTATTCGTTGAGTGTAGAGCGCTCGGCGAGCGTGTACTAAAGTTACCTATAGGGATTTGATATACATCTCATATACGCGTATTCTTTCAATTATTTTCAAAGATCTCTCGCCATGTCAATACGCACGTTAGCACGCCATGAATAATTCAACTCGCTCACACAGATCCGATAGTTAATTATTTACGAGCAGCGTGGCTGCCCTTGAAAATCTCAAATAATTACTCACGACATATCTCTGTATGTATAAGCGCCAAAGTTACGAGTATAAATCTGAAACTTTACAGATAAAGTAGTTGCTGCGTAAATTGTTGCGTTTTCAACGAAGACAAGATAATACAATACGCAACACACTTCCCCGAAGAACTATTCGCACCGTTTATCCTGCACTTTCTTATTCTAGCAGTGTAGGCACATTAAATCTCAGACCTCGCGCCGCTTCGCGCCCCGATAAACTCAGATTATATCTGGTCTTAGTGGCGCGTTGTCAACTAGATAACATCACTGGCATCGTTGAACAGGGCTGCTGAGAATGTTGTCTGACTATGAACCTCCTGCCGCGCCATTACTCGACGTGTCTCGTCTATATTAGAGCGATGTATTCCGTCCGTCCTTCGGATCCGTAGGTCCTCTGTACTGGAAAACGCTCAGTTGACCTCGATACCGCGTCATCCGAGTGACCTCGTGATACACGGATGGCGGAGTAATTATCGGCGCTCTTAGGTCGGTGACTAACGAACTGTCTATCGTGCAGGTGTCACGGAAATCCGTTTTCTCGATCGCGTCGACTATCGCCTTTATCGCCGAGCGTTTCTCCCTTTTGCCATATACGTAATCTTTCTATCGCAGCCATCGGCAATCAGCAGGGAATCAGCAGGGGATCGCGATAAAGTGGAAGCACGTAGCTGCCATTCCTTCGCGATATCCGCCGAGGCCAGTGGCGCATTTTCGATTAGGCCCGCCCGGATTCGAGCTTGAAATTGTATCTAAAGATAGCGGCGTGGAATAAGGAAACGGTTCGTTTTTTGCAAATATGAATTTCAAGGTCGCAATTTTTAATCCCACAATCGCGACGGCAAACGCGCTCGTTACACGCGCTCGTTCAACAATCGGGACCATTTGCGGTGAAAGCAAATGAAACTTTTAGTAAATTATCGATTAAAGCTTGCCGTTAATTTATGGCGTCGTTTATCACGGAGAAAAGTAAAGCCGACACGAAATTCGTGCTAACGTTGCCCATTATTGCGCACAAAGAAATATTAGGATAGAATGTCTGTTCGAAAGGAGATATACGCGAATACAATAAGTGTATCGATTGGTTTTTCGAAGCTGGTGCCTCAATCGGATTATATTGTATAGGAGGAAGCCAAGCAACAATTTTTCGATTGTTGATTGGTGCCCTTCTGCAGAATTCACGACCCAATTTTATCACGCTTCAAAATAAATTGCACATCGGCCGCTTTTGGATCTTGCTTTTATTGCACGGGCATTCGCGCTATGCCAATACGCCTGTTCCTTTTAGCCGGCACCTTCCACAGTTGTTTGCTTTTAGCTTTCCTTTATACGCGATCATTGCTTTATTCCAAATACAGAAAACGTAAGAAGGCACGTCTTTCCTACGTCTTCTCCGCGTTGGCTTTCAGGTCAGACCTAATATCGTTCTACGCCGACGCTGCAACGCCTCGATGTAGATTTTCCCAAACGTTATTTATGAATATTTGCCAAATAACAGGAGTCCGACTTTCAACTACAAACGAACTTGCAATCAGGGCGCTGCATTGCGTCATCGCGTTGCATACGAAATGGCATGTCTCAATATTTGCCATCTTACCGAAGAGCATTGCGTGCGGCGAGGCGCACTTCAATATTTGCCGTCTTGAGGGAGCTTCTTACGAAATTTGTTGGCCGTCCGATATGATCTGAACCAAATTACGCGAGCGAGCTCATTGTCGGTAACGACCTCCGAATTGAAAGAGGCTGAATTGGGCCGATTTATAGGGGAAAGTCTCTTATTACCAGATAGGCTCCTAATACGAGATAGCGGAGTTTCTATTGGCATCGCCTGTCGGTTCCACTATGAATTTATTGCCCTTGGAGTGAAATCTGTTTAGTGGAAAATTGATAGATCGTATAATCGCTGCTTTTTTCAACAAAGTAGGTAAGCGAGAAGATGTTCGAGCGTGGATAGCTCAGTTGGAAGAGCATTCGCCCTGCAAGCGGAAGGTCCCAGGTTCGATTCCTGGTCTAGTCTAGGCCCATTATTTTTCTCGCCGAAAATCAACAAGTCTTAGGCCGGTATTCATAGTCCGTTCTTATACTTAAGTTCATCTCAAGTATACTCTTAATGTGTTTTCAACCAATCACAGAGCCGTATTAGCGTCTTAAGACAACGCTTAAGATGATTTTGAAATAAGACTCGACTATGAATACCAGCCTTAGTGCCTACCTCCCCGAAAATACATCTCTATTTATTGCATGGAAAAAGATTTGTGATTGAATTTGAACGTTGAAAATCTGCTATTTCGTATTGGAATCCTATTTCATACTAGAGAACATTTCTCTATTAGCGGGCCACGGACTATATTTGACCGTGTCGGTAAAAAAGATGACTGAGGGATCCTCTTAAACGGGAAAAACAAAATAACACGCGGGCTAACGTACGCGTAATATTCGCGCAAATCGCCTGAAAATTGAAAATTAATTTATTGTTAATATGTAATTATTTTGTTTGCGCATAATGCACGTGTTTTATTATTTCTGTCGCGTATATATGTGTATATTGTTATTGCACATTGTTTTATCGCAAACGGGAAATTACCCCTCGTCGCTGCGATCTTGTCCTCGCAGTGATGAATTTGTGCATTAACCGATACCGTTTTTCCGCCTCCTCACAGCGTTTCCCTCGCTCGATTTCGCCCGGGGCGCGATTCGCGCTGCGCGTTAATCGCGCCGGGTACACGATTGCGACGTAAATCGCGCCCGTTCGCCTCGTTAATGCAAATCAAAATTGTCCCGGAAATGTCATTACAGGGCGGCTCGCGGCGCGTTATCGCGCAACGCGCCGCGCGGCGTAATACGTTTTTCATCGCGTCAACGTTAACACACGCGTACTCGCGCGCGCAGATTGCGCTCGTCGGCCGCCACCCGTTTAAGAGCCGCCCGCGGA